AAGTTCTACACTCATTCCGCCTAATACAGACAATGACCACAACTTCACCTACATTGAAGTTTCGAATGCCATTTGTTCACTCACCGATAACAAAGCCCCAGGCCTTGACAGCATAACCACTAGGATGATTAAACATGTGTTTGAGGCCAATCCTACAGCATTTGTAATTCTCTTCAATATCTGCTTGAACACTGGCCTTTTTCCTACTCAGTGGAAAAAGGTTAGTGTCAAATTGATTCCCAAACCCACCAGTGCTAACACTTACAAAAAAATACAGGCTGATCTGCCTTCTCTCAACTCTGGGAAAGTGTTAGATGGTATAATGATTAACAGGATCACTTGGCATATATGCATGCGTAGAATCCTGCACCAGAATCAGTTCGGCTTCTCTAAAAACAAAGATACTGTAGATGCCACCACCAAGTTGTTAATTACATCCACCAGGCTAAGCTTAATAATCAGCATACAGCAATAATCAGTATTTACTTTAGCGGCACCTTTGATCTTACCTGGTGGCGTTCTATCTTGCACACATTACATGCTCATCACTGCCCTGATATTCTTTACAAACTTCTGTCACTAAGATAGGATTGAAGGAGTGCAGGTGTTTATACAATACAAAATAACATAATCATACCCATCATGCGGAACTGTCCTCAGGGATCCAGGTCTGGTCCTGGTCTCTGGAATATAAACTATAACTCTATCCTGCACTTAAACGACACCCTGCCTCCTGGCTGCCACATACATGGCTATGCAGATGACACAATTATCCTAGCTTCACACAGGAACAGTGAACGCTTACAGGACATAAGCAACAACATTCTCAATAACATTCACCAGTGGAGTATTAAGCATAATCAACCCATTAACACAGACAAATACAAAAGCATGATAGTTGGTAGGAATGGGCCACTCATCAGGAAACTTTGCCCTTCAAATAGGTGCTCACAGAATAAAGCAAACAACTGAAATTAAATATTTAGGTGTAATTCTTGATGAGAGACCTAACTTCACACCCCACATCAAATACATCACAGACAAAGCTAAAAAGACAGCCAATGCCCTCATTAGTATTGCTAGGAACACATGGAGCCTTGGCCCTAATGCCACTAAACTTATTTACAGGGGTGCAATTCAGTCAGCACTCCTCTATGCCATACAGGTCTGGGGCCACCTGGCCGCCAAAGTCGATAACCGTAAAAAACTGTTATCTGTTCAAAGGATTGCAGCTCTCTGCATTTCTAAGGCTTATAGGACAGCACCCACTGGTGCTCTTTTGGTAATGTCAGGGTTGACCCCTATCAACTTAGAAATTAAATGCATTATTTGGCAGGAAAATCTCGTCACCTTACCCTGGCAAGATTACAGTGACTCGGATGTTGACAAAATGATTAGAGTATGTAAGATTTCCCCCAGTTTGACCTTGATCAATGATATCAAAAAATTAAGCATCGACAAAAATATCCTCCTGACTTACGATTACCATCCTTCCTACCAGCTTGCCCCTGATGTTTACTTCAAAGATCCAGGTGATCGTCCCATGTTTAGGATTTACACTGACGGTTCCAAGATGGGTGACAATGCGGGTGCCACTTTTGAGTTTACTCTGACTTAGGAGTGAACTTCACAACACTTGCTTCCATCTAGGTACACACTGCACAATAGCACAGGCAGAAACTTTAGCTATTTATATGAGCTTAATTCACATTAGGCATAGGAAGGACAAAAGACACTACTTACACTATCGCATTTATTCTGACAGCAGAGTAGCTTTACACAGGATTGCGAAGTCTGATAGCTGCTTAAAACTCGTCCATCTCAGACACTTAGACAACAACGTTAGAATAGATTTCCAATGGGTTCCGGGTCATGCAGGGTTCTTGGCAACGAGACCGCTGATCGTCTTGCCAAACAAAACTGCAAAGTCTTCAGTCACTAGTACTTTCAGTTACATTCCTACCTTGTACATCAACAATCACGTTGCCAGAGAATGAAGATTTGCTTCTTGCAAATCTTCATTCTCTGGCAAGACAGCTGGGACCATGACACCACTAGGGTAAAAGTGGCAAAGAGTCGCAGTAGTGTCAACCTTAGGGAGGAAAGTGTAGGTGAGCCTACACTTTCCTCCCTAAGGTTGACACTACTGCGACTCTTTGCCACTTTTACCCTAGTTACATCCTCACTCAGCTACTTACGGGACACAGCAACTTTAAGCAATACTTGCATAGATTTAACCTTGGGGACAATCCACAATGCAATTGTGGTATTCAGGAGGACCAAACACTTCTTCACTTGGTTTTTCATTGCAATAGGTACAATCACATTAGGGATAGTTTAATGAGAGCTGCTATTCTCGAAGGGTACAACTGGCCTTGCAACCCGCACCAACTCATTCACACGCGTACAATGTTCCATCATCTACTCGCATTCATGTCCCTTAGTGGGGCTGTTGGGAGCATTCTTTCCAGGGGCACGGATGGCAATTAGCTTTCCCTTGCTTTGTTTCAACAGTCGGTATATGGCTGACTTTCAACTTTGTATTTTAATTCTTATTTTCTGTCTTCTTTTCGGTCTAAATTCAGTTAGTTTCAGTTAGTCCTAGTTGTAAGTTAGATTAGGGACTCTTAGCTTGATTTCTGAACTTAGGTTCGTCCTAGTTATGGTAGATTAGTTAGTAAGTTAATGTTTAAAAAAAATAAAATAATAATAACAAAAATACTTTGGGTCTTGTGTGTTTGTCTTTTGTCTGTCCGTTTGTCTCGTCTAGTTTGTTGTTGTGTCATGTGTTTTTTCACGCTGTCTGTCTAGCTGTTAAGTAGTATTAAGATTTGCACTCAAGTTCAGTTTCATTAGCAGTTATCATTGGTGTTTGCTACACTCAGGTTTTCTTTTATACCCTTTGGGGGACTACAGCCTTGCAGCTAAAAACTGCATGCCAACATCAAACATAGAGGGTACTGTAGCCATATGTATGCCATTCAGGGGGATCCTGCCTTTTTCTACTATCTATCTCCTCTCCCTCTTTCCCACTGGCTAAACATCTTGTGTATGTCCAAAGTCTTTCTTGTATGTATGTCCACATTACTAAGGAACACAACTAAATGCTGATTTGGTTCATTTATAAACAGATTATTTTTAAAAAATGTTATAAAATTTAGTTTATACAACAAATAAGCTCTAGAATGAGAATCTACACCAGTGGATCTCAAGAATTTTTCTGGCAGCTGCAAAATGGTTACTAAATTTTGCTGCTGGCTGCATTTATTAATTAACAGTAACAAAGATAGATGGTATTTAAATGGATTTAATATGTGAATAATAAAAAGATCATTTAAAAAATTTCATTATTAGTTAGGATTTACAAAGTTTTTCAGGATTTACTATATATGAACTTTTGATTTGCACCTCAAGTCACATTATTTCAATTCAAAAAGTTTCCCCTAAAAGGAGTTAATGACCTGCATGACTTTATTGCTGATGGAAAAGCATGATATACAGGGACAAGACAATAATAATTTGAGTTAGAATATATTTTAAATTAAAAATTGCTCATTTCCAGTAAGCATTATTGTTGAATAAATAATAATAATAGTAGTAGTAGTAGTATAGCTGTTGCAGTTGATTCTCTATATTTGGTCCAATTGTTATAGAGGTCAATCAAAATGATACCATACCATTGTTAAGTTTTTAAATAATTTTCAATGATGATATCATTCTATTACCATTACACGTTTCCATTAATAAAAATTTTACTTTTGTCTAGCTAAAATTATCCACAGTTTCTTCTGTTTTGATCTGTTTAAGACCTTAAAATTGTAAATGTGAAAACTTTGAATCATTACAAAAGAAATAGGTTAAACAAATCAAGTTCTTTAAACATCAAACTTACCAGTTGTTTAAATTTTTAAAATCTTGTGTTAATTCTATTTTTAATATTTGTTTGAACTGTCAAGCTAGATATTTTATTTATAAATCATTTAAAGGAAAAAACATTGATACCAAAACTTACCTACAGCACTTTTAGCAACCAACATTTTATTTGTACAAGGGGCTTGTACACTTAGCACTGAATACTGCTCATTATGGTCCTTATTCTGAAGGTATAAACCCAAACACAATGAAAGGCATTTGATGACTGTAATTGATCCTCTGATGCTTTTTTGTGTGCAGTGTGGCAGTGTGTTTTGAGGCTAACTAAATTTCAAACTACAACTATCTTCACTAGTAACGTAGTGAATAACTTTCAAACTAATTCATCAATAAAACTAACTAATTTTGTTAATTGAAAACAATTTTATTTTTCTACAAATTGCTCACTGATATTACTCTAAATTTAGTATTTTGAAATGCAAAAGTAATCATATTTATACATTTTAATGTATTCAATAACAGCTTATATATTTCACTCAAAAATTATTCTCTCTTGTTATGAGTTTTAATAATTTTTGTATTTTACACATATGATTTTTACTTAAATCTTGTTGTTTTAGAAAGTAAATAAAAGAAAAGGCTTTTCATGGTAATAGTCATTTGTTTTAATTTACTGAAGTATCACATTATATAAAGAAATTATTAGAAAAAATCAGAATTTGAAAAATCTTTATAAAATATTTGTGTTCAAATTTAAAAATAAAAATGAATTTTCTATAAGAATGCATATGATATTTCTATTTACAAAAATCATATGTGAAAGAAAACGTTAGGAGGAAACATTGGTCAGCTGCAATCCTTAAAATGTTTGAGCACAGTGAAGAGAAATGGAAATTTTTGTGAACTGATTTGGGTATAAAAAACTAACTAACTAAACTGAATGAACATGTCACTAATGTTTAAAATCTTATAGTCATGTTTATCAATGTATGCAACTAATCTCTCTACCATTCATTTTACTAATGTTTATCTTTTAGATAAAAATTAATAAAATGATTAGATGATAAAGACAAAATGAATAATACTGAAGTTTTATTTGTGTACTTCTATGTCATTTTTAGAAAAAATTAACTGTCTAGGTGTTGTTTTATTTTATTTAAATAATACAAAATATATGTACAGAATTAAGCTACATCAATATCATTCTAAATCTTGTAAATTAATTGTGGATCCTGTAAATTCAGTGTCACCTGTACTTGTTGTTCCAAAATCGCTCGCGGAAGCACCATTTAAAGATTCGTCTCCTACGGATGGATCGGACAGAAGAGAGATGGGTACAGATAATTCTGTTATGAGTGAAGAAGTTGTGACGGGTGTGAGAATTTGATCATCTTGATAAATATTTGTTGTAGGTTGTGGTGGGTCATCCTATTTAATAAAAATATCAAATTACCCTTCATTTTGTAAAGAAAACAAAAAGCCAAATAAATGACAAACTACTTACAGGCAGTATGTAAGTTTGAATAAAATGTGTACCACTAATAGAATCACGATAAGTAAACGGAGTGGAAGCCAACATCACATCGGCAGAAACATTTGACGAAGAATCTCTCAGAATTTGATTGGAATTTGGTGATTGTTTAATTCCATCTGATAAAGAGAGATTATCTATAAAGAAAAATAATAAATATAGTGTTTTCCCATTTGGTTTTCCTTCATAAAAGTTATTTTTGAAATATAAAATTATTAACCAGTTGTTGTAGATGTAGTAGGAGTACTGGTCAAATTATTTTTCAATTGCTGCTGCAGTAACCACCATTTTTTGGCACGAGAACTAATAATGTGATTACTACAGTAATCGGTACGAGCCGATCCACTGTTATTTTCTTGGAGAATTCGAGACGATGCTAATAATTCTAATTCATCTGAATAAACAGAATCATCAGATATAAAATAGTAATCAAAATAATTTGTTTTTAAAATAAAAGAAAATTAATAAATGATTAGTTATTAAGTGTCAATTGTTATAAAATTATAGTTTATTAAAACATAAAACATAGAATCAAGTTAATCTTTGTATTTTATTATGACTTTCTGAAATTGCTCATAGAATAAATTCCAAAAGCATCAGTATAAAATATATGCATGTATAAAATAGAACTTCTTATGAAAATTTTGTTGTAAAATGTTTGACATTTATCAAGGTACTTTTTTATGCATAGTTTTACAACTCTAAAATAGGATAATTATTTATTTTCAAATATCAAGTGTGATTACACTTGATATTTGAGTTTAATTATATTATAATATATAATTAAGAAAATTAACGTCATAAAATTTTATATTACAGACATATTATTATTACTATATTTTACTATAGAAATCTTAGAAAATTCTTTGTAACTTACTAGATGAAACTGTTATTCCTAAATTTGGATTTAGAATGGTACCAAGAGTCTGTGTTGTTGATACATTTGTGCTTCCAACAGTGGATGAATTAGGTACAACAAAATCTGGAATAATAAACTGTGTAGCAGCAATATTGTTGCCCAATTGTTGAGATAAAAGATCAGGTGTAATTGATCCTCCAAGTAATTGAGCTGAGACAATAATAAATAATTTTTTGTGTTTAAATTATAAAAATTTCATAAATAAAGAAGTTATAGAACTATTTACTTACTTAAAGGTTCAGAAAGTATAACATTTGATGTGCTGACAAGAGTAGTTTCAGGAAGTGTAGCAGAAGTATTTGGTAATGAAACTGCATTAACTAATTATTAAAAAATAGAAAAAAGAATTAAAAATATTAAATGAAATGAATTTACTTCCGTTTATTAAATAATTTTAAAACAAACCTAAAGACACAGTATTAGTAAGTTCTTGTGTTAAACCATCCATTGATGTTATTTCTTGCAATTCTTTACTGGACAATAATGTTACTGTATCCTGTTGGCCCCCTTCTTTTATAAAAGGAAACAAAAAATAATTTTATAATAAAAACTAGTCGACTTTAATACGTAATATGTCAATTATGAGAATCACTGTTGTCTCCCATATTTTACTGTTATGTCAAAATTTTAATAGTTTATTTTGAATGACATTACATTGATTAACAATATTTAAACTGTTTAATGTTCAAAAATAAAGATTTAAAATGGGAAGTTCCAATGATTCTAATAACTCAGTAATGAACAAAAATGATTAAAATAAGAGCTTATTTTTAAAAATAACAATTATATATCTCAACAATTAAAAGAAAATAAATTACTTTATATTTAAAAATAAGAATTTATTTTATTAGAAATGAATGCAATCGGAAAGCTTCGTATAAAAAATTATCTTATTTTTTTAAATTAAAAATTATACTTAAAAAACATACATTTAAATAATTTTTGAAGATCAATTAAAATTTAACTGAAAACACTTTATAAACAGTAATGAAATTAAAAATTTATTTAAAACACATTGAAACAAAGTTCAGTTACTGACACAATCTTTACAATTTGTGAATGCTTATCTACATGTTTGACAATAATGTTTCATGTACAGTAATTACAAAAACAGAACATCTATATTTTTTTTGTGTTAATATAACTTGTAATGTGTTATATTTGTATTAAAATATGATTTTAATGCAGAGCTTATAATGAAATTGAAATACTTGAGTTTAATTATATTATAATATATAATTAAGAAAATTAACATCATAAAATTTTATATTACAGACATATTATTATTACTATATTTTACTATAGCTATCTTAGAAAATACAAAATTACATTCTTACTCTTAAGTTCATTTGTAATTTGATTGTAAAATTGACTAAATAATTTAAAGTTGTAACATGTATTTGCCGATTTGCTGTTTTTCTTAAACCTTTAATTAATATTATTGTACCAAATTAATGAAAGAGAAATTTAACTATATATTAACTAAAAATTTCATCTGCATGTATTTTTGTAAAATTTTATATCAAAACAGAAATATCAATGTCAGGTTTGAATTTATTGTAATAAATTAATTGTTTCAAGTTTAAAAATTTTTAATCTATCATTTTTAAAATGCTTCATTGTATTGAAATGAATAATTGTAGCTAATTAGAATGGTCCATTCAGTTATTAATGCCAAATGATCTGCTGAATCATTGGGCTATATTAATGATTAATTACTAATTAATTTGATTAAAGGTAGGCAGATATGTTCCCATTTTCTATTAATTTTAATAATTACATTAAATTAAATTTTTAATAAAATATAAAAATATAAAATTACAACGTTTAACAATACTTTGTTTCCGTTTGTTCATCCGTCGTTCGCTCCAGTTGACAGTCCACAAAAATTACAATCACGGAGGCGACCTTTCTTTAGAGGCTGCTGCCTCCGCAATAAAATGCAAATATGGTTAAAAACGTCCTCTGGTGCTATTGCCACTTTCACAAAAATTCATTTTGAAGAAAATAATAAATATTAACATGGCCGATGGTATTACATTTAATAAAATATAAAAATATAAAATTACA